GTCGCTTCTTAGCTTCAAAGTCCGGCTTATCACCCCGTTTCGCAACGGGCTGCTAATTTCAGGCTTTATTAGTCGTTTAACGGGGTTATTGCCAGCGGCTAATAAAAATGAAAGAATTCTAGTTGTAAATTGGTCTTTGACTTATATAATGGTATTAGGCGTACTCAGTGATGGGGCAGAATTTTATAGTTGACTGATATAATATGCAATGAATAATCGGATTATTGCTTGTTAATGTCAGAACTACAATAGATACGCACAGTAAAAAGTGGATCAATTTCTTGGCAATTATAATGGCAAAATGAGCACAAAGGTTAATTGAGGCACACAGTCTTTAGACAGATTATGGATGTGCGAATACAGAGTATTGCGCGAGAAGCACCAAGGGTTGCTTAGTGGATTCGTTGAATTAAGGTAGAGGATTTTATATGTGTTGTTATTATTTCTTGTTACATACTGCTTCTGAAAATTTGTTACTCACACACAATAATTTCAAGATAACAAGGGTGGAAGAATTGCATCGCCGACTTGTTCTTTTTTCTTTTTACGGTTTGTTCTTTGTGCTTGTTTCTTTCCTCTCGGCTCACAATAGTGTCTTTTTTGTCAATTGCTAGCCGTTTTTTTCGATAATTCCACACTACATTAACGAATTGGTTAACGAGCTATAATTCATTTACGCATTCTGTTGGGATTGCCTGTTTAAATAACTCCCTAGACCATATTAACTCACATCCAAGGAATCTGTAATGATTCATAAAACAGTTTGATTCTATCAAAAATCGACCTTGCATGTGCATATAACCCACCATCTTGTTAAGCATTGTGCTAATCATTGTGCCATTACTTTATAACTTTACACAATACCTTAATTACCATATCTTTTTTTGGTCCCTTACGAAACAAGAGGTCGCGTCAGTTTACAATAGGTGCGGGTCGCATACCTGCCTTTTTCTTTCTATTAGACCTCTATTTAATTCGGAATAATGTTCCTTTCGTAAGATACATTCTCACATCCCTTAGCTGTTCTTCGGGTTGGATATTCAATTTGGACACGTATCTTATTTCCTTTAGTTACCCATTTGAAATAAATAAAAATGAAATTTTGTACGAATGCTTCCAGTCTCTTGATCCTAAATAAAAAGAAATAAAAACTTTATGCTTTCAGCTGGACACAGGCATGTTGCATGACTTCATTGATACGCTTATGTTGTCCTCTGTTAGAGACAAGGTGACATAATCATCGGACTGTCATCGATGGTGGAAATTCAGAGTACCAAGATAGTCAACGTCGTTGTAAACAGTTGAAAGAGAAGGGCCTTCTGTTTGTTGGATCAGGTGTATCTGGTGGTGAAGATGGTGCACGATATGGGCCTTCACTTATGCCAGGAGGCAACCCTGAGGCATGGCCTAGTATAAAGAGTATTTTTCAGGTAATAGGATGAAAGCTAACGTTAATCTTGCCTCTATGCAGTAGTGCAACTGTAGAGTATTCACAAAGAAGTGTTGAATTCAGTACTTGATCAATTTGAAATCATTTAACCCTTAACTAAGTCAAGGAAGTGATTACAACAATTCTGTGAAATACTACTTTACTTAGATTTAATAAGCAAAAGAGACTACAGTAATGTATTTGACACAGCTGTGGTGTGAGTATTAAGAAGAACTAAGATTGAGAACAAAGCTATACACAAGTAAAATGTTTATTTAGATAATATTTAAGGAAGGTGTTATTATTACAATTTACTGGTAAATACTAATGGTCATGCATGTCTCACATAGGGAAAATGTCAACTAGTCATTACAAATGTTTCAGTCAATTTCTGCAAAGGCAAATGGTGAGCCATGCTGTGACTGGGTAGGAGAAGATGGCGCTGGACACTTTGTGAAAATGGTTCACAATGGAAT